CAGTGTCAACAAAAAGAACATTACGCTAGTCTCTCCCTATCCAGGTGATATCGTCCTTTAACCCTCCTCCCCCTTTATGTTTTGTCTGTTTTAATGCATTTTGCTTTACTTTGTTGCCATGCAGTACGCACCATGTTGAGATGCAGCGAAATCGTCCGGGACATCAATCGCGCAGTATTGCAATACGTGTGGTCTTTTCTTTTGAAACTAATCTCGAGAAAGGCTTGCTTCAACTAATCAATCAGTTTTATCGACCGGAATGCTAACTCGAGTCGGGTCCTTGATCTGTAGGGATCAGTAACGGAACTTTGTCTGACATCTATCGTTCGACGTTCCAGACACAATTAGAGCATCGGCATCTTTGTTGAGTCGCAACGATGCACATTACGTCAAGTTGACAGCACCCANGATTTTTGAAACGCGAAGCAGTTCACTTTCGGTACTTTATAAAGAGTATTTATGCATACATAACGCAACACATGACCTCATCATAGCGCCTATCCAATTCATGAGGAAGAGAAAAACCCTGGGGGCTTTGTGTTCAAACAGCACTTCCCATGTGTATGAAGAAAGAAAATCTCGGTGAACTGATTGGTGAGCAATGGCCTAAACTACTACTACTACTACCACTATTAGTACTACTACTACTACTACTACCAGGATCTGCCTTCTTCTTATGACCAATCGGAACGATTCCCCATGGAGATTGTGGAGGATAATTTTCTCACCTTGATCTGATATGCACGGGAGCTGAATGGAAGCGTGACCGTAAACCCAGATGGGTAGAACAATACAATCGTGATCTTAACTTCGCACTAATGAGATCAGATAGTAGGGACAGTGATCAATCAAAGAACACCCTAGTCTTTTTTGACTGTCTTCTCCTCGTGTCCCCTCGATATCGAGCTCTCTATGAGTGCACACGAGCGAGTGATACACACTGCGTTCCGTAATCTCTGATGTCAGGCGATTGTGATCGATGAATGCGAAGCTCAAGGTGTGCGAAACTGTTGCACCCGATTAACACTTGGTGTGCAAGCTCGGTCAGAAGTAATGGCACGTAGTGTAGCATAGAACCGGTGAGGAAAATCACTAGAGGTGAACCAAGTATTGATCAAATCAGTCTTTGCTTAAATCCAGACATGAATCACCGTTACCGTGTAATCGGTATTTCTAGAAATAAATTATTCCAGGATTTCGTGAGCTTTATGCTCGTTGAATGGCAAAACCGTACTCGTCTTCTTTTTTTGTGACTATATTTCTCGGACAATTAGACCCTGATCATCATTTCTCCTAATTGTTTCGTCTCATTGTTAAGTGTTGATGAGCTTTCGAGTGTCCTAATCCGGTAGACCGAGCAGCACACCAGGTTTTATTCCCATTTAAGTGATGAAAAGCAATAAACGGAATCTCGTTGGTTTATTAGCATAAAAATCTATGCCCGAGCAAAAATTGCATCAAAGATTGTTCATTGTTCAGTCGATCAATGGTATTACCGGATTTATTCTGCATCGGCTCAGATGCAGATGCGTAGAGCTCATTACGAAGGAGACGCAACAAGAGCGGATTGCGGAGAAAGAGATTGAAGGAAAAGATTGGAAAATAAAAGGGCCAGTTTTATAATCCTTAGTCGATATCTTGGTTAATCAAGTTCGGATGATGATGATGATCCCCGTGCGTGTATCAAGGTTGCTCACCGGAGTAAAACAAGCAAGTGGTGTTTGTTTTGGCGATGCGGCAATCAGAAAGATACAAATTTCAAAACCAAAGTCACACAGACAGCTCAGCTTGGCATAGTCATCCATTTTTGTTCTCACTTGGATCGTACGAGATCGGCTCAGCATGTTTACATCGGTATGGATTCTTTCCTTTCCATCTCCGACCTCGCGATTCTGTCATCCGTTTACATCTCACGAAACCTATTTACTGACCTCATTAACACCTATTTGAGCGTAGTAGAAATTTACACCTATCCTCTAATCCACTGTGCATCAAAGTCGATTGTTTTTGAAGTCACCGAACATCACGCACACACACACACACACCAGCTCAGAACACAAATTAGGTGCAAGTTTCTATGCAACTCCTTGCTAGTTCTAAATGCAACAAACTATGGAAAATTAGTCTAACTGTGGTACAATACTGTGTGTTCAGGCATCTACAGTCAGTTGTTGATATCCAAAGAAAATTGCGTCAGGATTCTATTTCAACACGAAATTTGTAACAGTCTCGGAGAGAACAAACAGTGAGTGAGTTGGACAGAAAAGCTAGACAATGGGAGAAAAGTTTAGTAGTTCGCTTCCTTTTATTACTTGTCCAGTCAGCTTCACACCAGGGGAGAGAGAGAAAAGTAACTAATAAAAGGCCTCCCTGGAGTCCAGTGAACGCGTTTCCGTGGCGGCGGTGGCGGTGATGATGATGTACGAATTCGAACACACGACCTTTGACCGATGTGTGTACTGTGTGTGTGCTCTGTGTATATAGTTTCACGATGGATGCCCAATAGGGTCGAATAAGGTTTACCCTTGCTTACTATTCACAAAAACACATTCATTCGAGGATTAAAAACACAAAAAACAAAAAAGGGACACAATCAAAATGCGAATACAACAGAACAATTAGTTCTGCGAAGAGAAGTTACTGTCACGGATTAAATTCAATTTCATGATGCATTCCTTAGTACACACAAAGCAACATAGGAAACATGAACCCATAAGCTCGGAAGCTCCAGCTATTTACAGCTGGTTCGAACTTGTTGAGTCGCCTTAGCAATGTGAATCTGTCGACCCGACTGGGGGTCGACACGGGTTGAGTCAAGTTGTACAGCTGTGCTCTAAAACCCATGAGTAACATTCAGGGAAGGCGCGANAACATCTTGATTCACCCAGTACATATAGGCTAGTATGCATGTTTAGCAGTGGTCGGTGTGGCCAGGAGGCCTGAGAACACACCGCGCTGTTTATCACAATTAGTAGCTACCGTTTTCATACAATCACATTCGCGGCGTTTTTTTCTTGTTTAGGGGAAAAGGTATTGGTTAGTTTCGGACCGGGTAAAAACGTGTCCATACCTTGTACTCGGTTTTGGCATCGGGGTGGGAGAAGTGAGAGCCAACATTTCCTGAATGGCCAGACGCAATTTGAGCCGATGTAAAGGATTGCTGATTCCAATCTCACGTTGAATCTCCTGTTCCGATAGGGAAGCCATA